CATATTATTAAACAACAAATACTAATTAATTCACTATATCCACTAATATATATATAACAATAATACCTATATATATATATCTATATCTAATACTCCTTAAATCATTACTTAATAAACCCCAGTATGTATTACACTCCCCATATTCCATCACAGGTGAGGGGGGGGGGGCCGCTACTAATTATATAATCATTATCTCATAACTGAATTACAGCGTTGGGGTGTGGGGGTGGTGAGATCAAGAGGAAGAGAGTGGAAGAAGAAGAGAGGGAACAGAGAGCAAGAGCGCGGAAGAGAGATACAGAGACAAACAAACAGAGAGAGGGTGGGAGGCGTAAATAGGGAGAGAGACACAGAGAGAAAGTGAAGATGGTGAGAGAGAGAAAAGAAGAAAACAAAGGAAGAGTCCGAGAAAGACAGAGAGCAAACACACTAAAAGAGCGCCAGCGCACAGAAGAAAGGACACAGCGCACGGACACCTCAGACAATATAGAGGAAGAGCGGTGCATCGAGCGAGATCGCGCACATCAGACACAGTGAAGAGCAGACAGACAGACAGACAACTACGACAGAACCACAGACAACAGACAGACAGACAGAACAGGACAGACAGAAAGAGGCAGAGAGGCAGAGAGGCAGAGAGGCAGAGAGAGGCAAAGAGAGGGGGAGAGAGCGCGCGAAGGAGAGACAGACAGACACCGAGAGAGAAAGAAAACACGCGAAAAAGCTAACACATGGAGCCTGCATTACTAGACAAAGCACATAAACCACGACACGCTACAAAACGCTACGTTTGACAAGCGCAACATTTCAGACACAGGAAGGCATGCCGCAGCACTTCATCACGCGTTAATGCGCGGCCTCGCGCGGACTGTCACCGAAATCATCAGCTTCACTGATAAATCATCTGTCACTCGCAGGATGCACGTATAGACACACAGGCGCAAGCACGCAAGCGCGCGCATTCGGCAGCAGACGCTAGCTTTCACTAGCCACACCCACGTGAAGATTAGAGCTTCTTCACTAGTAACATAGATGTTAGTACTACAGGGTATATGGTTTACCCTGTATTAGTACTACAGGGTGTGGTTTCTCCTGTGTTAGTACTACAGGGTATATGGTTTACCCTGTATTAGTACTACAGGGTGTGGTTCCAAGTTATAACATTTCAGCACCACCCAAAGCCTGCAGATGCATCCACATTCGCCACCACGTCTATTACTCCGACCCACACATAGATGGCGCCACACTCACCTCGACGACGGTGGAGCCATCTGTCTTATCGACGAGGTATGTTCCATCCTGCAGCTCGGGCATCTCAAAGCCGTTTCTCTCCCATGTGAAGTTAGCGGTCGGGTGAGAGTCCGGCGCGCAAGTGAGCTCCACCGTCTTACCGACCCACGCAAACATCTTCTCCTCCTCCTGCTCCTCCTCGTCGAACAACGGAGCATCTGCGAGAGAAAGAGCGGGGATTATTATTATTATCATCAGCAGTAGCAGCAGTATCATCATCATCATCATCGCGTTGTGAGAGTTTGTTTGATGGTCCGTGTGAAAGAAGCCGTGGTGACTATGGGTGAACGTTGTAGTCGTCGTCGTCGTCGTCGTCGTCGTCGTCGTCGTCGTCGTCGTCGTCGTCGTCGTCGTCGTCCTCGTCATCATCATCATCGTCGTTGTCATCATCATCATCATCGTCGTTGTCATCATCATCGTCATCATCATCATCATCATCATCATCATCATCATCATCATCATCATCATCATCATCATCGTCATCATTACCATCATTAGCCGCAGCAGCACAGCAGCAGTGATAACGGTCATTGTCACTGCCACGGCCAATAACGTTCCATCGTAATGGTGATTCCATCTCAGCTACAGAAATAATATAGTAGACGTAACATATTGGTAGTAATATGTTTCTGTGGTCACCGCACACCCACACTACACGTCCGCTAGTACCTCCTACCACCCTACTTCCCTTTCACCCCCACCATACAGCACCTTCACTACAATGCTCTGCCCCCAGCCCCTACCCTAAAGCATTAACACTAACGCTCGGTCCCCCACCCTACAGCTCCTACACTAATTCAGCACCACAACATTGTCTTGCATCTAACCACGATCACACTGTCGACACGCGCACACGCACGCACGCACGCACGCACGCACGCACGCGCGCGCACGCACG